GGTTCCCCCCCCCCCCCCTCCCATTTGAATAGATGGCGGTCATGTTGGTCGTTCCCACTCGCTAATAAACGCTTAAAAACAACAATAACTTTCATCATTTGCATGAATACTTTAAAAATGTATTTTGAATAGGGTTAACTTAATATTTAAGTTCCCTGTTTAAGAAATAAGAAATATGCGAATTTTCTCTCATTTCATGGGAACGACCTGAGACTGCATGCAATCACGGCTTCAATTTTTGAATTGCAGAATAATTAGAAGTTATTAGATGCACTATCTAGTGTATATAAGATATCTATGGTTTAGTTCAATGCAAGCCGGCAAGTTGACTGAAGCTTGGTTTACACATCAAAGTTTCTGTAATTACAGTAGGGAATTTACATGCATGGGTAAATTCTAAATTTCGAAGGATTTATAAAGAAATGTTTGCGGGAACTTAACATTAAGCCAGTTTGCTCAAACATATCTTACAAAACCTCCAACACATAGAATTTACCTATGCAAAATTCCTACTGTGATCACAGAAACATTGACAATGTAAACCAGCCAGACTTTAGAGTTTAGGTGCAAATTATTTAAAAGTCAACGCATGTAGGCGAACGGGAAAAGCGAGGCCGCGCAGATCACGCCACTGACGTTTTCTTGTTTCAACAAGCATTTCAACCACAAATCGGCCGACTAAAATGTATGCATGTGCACTTGGCTTTATCGTGACCTCTAATCCTCTATAGACCGATTCTAAAATGTTGGCATTATTTTTACTCCCGAAATCAATATCAAGCAAGGTAATCACCTTATAGAATACTTTAAGACTAACTTAACGGTTTTATCAAATATAAATATATATGTAATCTCTTTGAGAAATTGAGTCTTAAAAATATTGCTAGATATAGCAGAAGATCGACTAGCCTCGTTTTAGTGCTTTTTGCACACTTCAAAGCTAGGGCTATACTAGTTCACTTGCATGGATTGTAGCAATCTTAATTAAACTCTTACACTTTGCTAAATAGCAATTTGTGACAAAAATATGCAAAATCGTGAATAATTGCGCCTAAAAGTGGCACGATGGGATTCGTGCAAAATACTACAATCGAATAGAAGCATGAAATTAAAAAAAAACATACCCATTTTGTTTTTCGTAGTTCGTTCTCTAGTCATGCCCGTACTCTTCATTTTCTCAAGAGATCACTCGTCTCCACGCGCAGTTCTTTTCTCCGATATCTAAAACCCCGGTCAAACGAGGACAATAGTTGGCAGTCACGCATTGTTACGGGGGACATTCAAAGCTCTAGATTAACAAAATAAAGGATTGATGAGTGTTCCCAACAATGTTGTAACTTAAAATACAATACATGATTGTGAAGGGAAAGTATTAAGAACAGCTAACCAAGATCACGTGACTGCCATCCTCGCGTTTGATCAGGCAGATGAGGCTTAAAGCCTAGTTTCCATTTGGTCGTTAGTTGTCGCTGGCACGACAAGTGGCTGATGTAATAGAGTGTCAACAAAACTTTATAAAACTCTGCAATCATTAAGACAGATTTGCATATAACCCACAAACAGACTATTATTATATTAGACTATTTTACACTACCGCTTGTCGTGCCAGCGACAACTATATAACGACCAAATGGAAACTAGGCTTTACTATAACGAACGATGTGTAGGAAGTCCAGTTTAGATCATTGATTTGTACATATTAGCGGTTTAAATCGATCTCGAATCTATCTCAGTTCGGTTTTGGAATTGTATTTATAGTACATATCAGTAGGTTTTGGTTGTCCACACTTGACTCGATACTGGCCTCCACCGCAGGCATCGCACCCGAGGAATCGGGTGATCGAAAAAAGTTTTTTCATTTGCAAATGAAAATTTTCAACCCATTTGCAGGCTAAAACCCATAGAGAGGCCTGCGGAGGAGGCAGCTCGATACGGGAACGAGGGAAAGAGTTCTCACTCCAGATATATATATGGAGCTCGCTGATCTATTGCACCACTGCACCACAGGCTATTTTATGAACGTCATGAACTGAAAGGGAAATCCCAAGAAGGCGACTTATGGGAAAACCCCTGTCATTTCCACAATTGCCCTTCTAGGGACTGAAATGACATCATTCCAAAAATACTTTCAAAATATAAACACAGCCGAACGAAACATTAATAATTTGCAATTAGGCCTGATCCAAGTAGGTTTTATCCGACTGCAAAATGCTAAGAAGTTGTAGGCTTAAAGCTAAATTAAATCATGCTGTAGATCTGTGTATACGTGGATGACTCCAGCTGGAAATTTGTGCTTATGGAAGACATCCAAGGCCATATCGAGGAACATGGCGTTTCAGAAATTGAGGAGCTTTTTAAAACGAAACTGGGGCCCTGGGAAGACTCCAAAATAAATATCGGTATCATAGGCAATTCTGGTGTTGGAAAGTCAAGCTTCATAAACGCTATAAGAGGGTAAGAGATTTGTAAACTTAAATTGTTACTGACGTAGGGTATTTTAATTAATAATGCAATATTTCAAGCATTGTTTTCGATATATTATATTATATGTTGTTTACTGGGCAAATTTTCGTTTGTTGTATAGTCGCAATATCTTGTATATACACCGTTACAACCGACAAAAGAATCCAGATTTGAGTATTAGAATACCTAAACGGTAAATCGTACTAGAACCCGAGTATATGGAGGACAGGTTTTCTGATATGCGAGCGTTGACTTTGGCAATCGGCTGAATATAAACAAACAAAACATATATACTCGTCTGATTCGTCGCAGCGTGTATAAATATATATTAAATGGCAAAATCCGGTACTTAGACGTTTTCGCTTTTACAGTTTTAGTGTTAACTGGGCTATTAAAATTGCATTTGCAAGTAAGACTTTCGATTTCGATAAATTATTATTATCAAATATATACTATGATCCCCATCCCCCCCCCCCCCCCCCCCCCCCCCCC